CACGTGTGGCATTGCCGAGGACCTGGTACGTCGAGGTCTGTGTGCCAGGGTCGTAGGCGTCGTGCATTTGCGTGCAGATCGCACAGCTGGAAACGGGCGTCGCAGGTGGTCGCGTGGGCTGTGCGCGGCTGGTCGCAGTGGTGCACGGTGGTTTCCGGCGGTTATGATAATACGCCGGAATAAATTTTTTATGACAAAATATATACGTCGAGATCTCGAATATATTGGACTTTAAAACCTTCTAATGTATGCCTTTATACTCCTACTTTGAATAGTCTTGGTGTTGCGACTAAACGAAACTCCCAAACTCTCAATATATGTGAAAATCGATTTTCTCTCATATTTTGAAGACTAAAAATCAGACATCAAGTGTATGTTGAGAGGTTGGGACTTGGTGTATTTATAGATTACATTGGGGACCTTAAGGAGGTGCTAAATATGAGTTTCTCTAAATAGGGTTAGGAAACCTAATATCTTCTAACTCCTTTCCCTTCTAGAAGTTCTAATCCATTCCAACATCATTTCCTTTCTACAATACTTTCATGTATTCCAACCTTGGTAATATTCTAGAAAGAATTAGATTCTCCTACTTCGGAAAATTCTAAAAGATAATTTAATTCCTTTTCCTATTTGAATAAATAATAAAACATTCCACTAAAGTAATATTATTGATCTCCCCATTTAGCTCCAATTTATTCAATAAATTCAAACCCCCAACGTAATTAATTAATTTATTCAATACATTAATTGATCGATTTTCCTTCCGTATGTTTAAGATATAATATCCATTGATTAATTTAATTACTACCAATATAATTAATCAATTTCTTTTATCTGTCAAATCCAAAATTAGTACCACTAAGTTTTTTTATAATTATATTGGAATTTAATCTACCTGCAGGCTTAACATAATATTCCTTCTTGAGCTCATTTCGAGAACGTCATCAACCCAGCGGACCGGGACATAGTGACCGTAAATAATTTTAACAGACATCACATAAACATCATCATTTACCAAAATACTAAGTATGACATCCCAATAAAATAGGAATCACCTTTGGTAAATCGAATTAATAAGTGATGAGTATATATGCCCGTTTATTATCTTATGGCATAAGCAAATGCATCAGTTACTGAGGTCTAGATTATTTACTTCGTTAGTATTCAAATAATCTTCTCCTCCGTGGTCCATTCAACACTTACAAAATACTAGTGTAATTCGTCAATCAAAGATCAACTTAATCAAAAATTACACTACAGTCTTTTGCCAAGAGGTTGTTCAATTATGTCTAGACTGTGAATTAATTATTTATATTTTACAAGGAACTAATAATATGATCTTTCTGTTCGACACATCGAACCATATTATCTACAATGTAAAATAAAGAAACTTATGCTCGCACAAATAAATAAACTACAAACACAAATACTTGACAAAACATGATTGTCAATTCAAAATGATATTGCCGAAACTGAGAGTCGAGCTTTTACAGTATACCCTAACACAAGAGACCGTAACTGGGCTAAGGATAATATGTAGGATTACCAAATGAACCATACGAAACCTATGGATTACAAAGGATTCTAATTTCTAATAAGATGTGAACAATAAGTAAGATCTACCTTGGAATTTGTGTTTATTTGTGAGGTGGAACTAATAGTTTGGAAGAATTCAAGCAGTAAAACGTCTATAGATTCCACCATAGAAACTTTGTACATTGCCGGATGAAGAGCAAGCGATGGAGAGGTTTGACTCCGAGAAACTCTATTGGACTAAGAATGTGGAATCCTCGTTTGACCAAGTCAGATCACAATTTGATTGTGATGACAGTCGGTGCAGTTGCAAACGGAAAGGAATCACAAGTTCATCAGGCAAGTAAGCGCATAGTGCTAGTACGACCCATTGCGAATAATCGCAAAGGGGTAGATGTTTTGTCGCCTAGTAACGTAGTAGAGAACCAAGTAGTTTCTTTTAGAATTGGCTTTCTGGCGAAAGCGGATGATGACCATGGGATTGGGAGTCGGATGTGTGGCGATAAGAACAACAGTTCTTTGAGAATAAAGATTGAAAGAGTGTATACTTAGAAAAGCTGAAAGCTTTAAAGTATAAGTGGAAGATTGTTGGAGTATACTGTAGAAGCTCGGCTTTGTGATTACTCCCAATTCCATTTTGAATGAGATGTGTGTCTTTAGTCAAGTTAATGTTCGTAGTTCATTTATTTATGAGAAAATAGTTCTTTTATTTTACATTGTAGATAATGTTGTTCGATGTGTCGAACTGAAATATTACATTATAAGTGCCTTATAAAATACAAATATTTGTTCACGGCCCAGACAAAATTGAACTAATTTTTGTGGAAGGCTATAGTGCGATTTTGAGTTAGTTGATATTTGACTAATGAATTACACTGGTACATCTCGTATGTTTTGAAAGGACCTACAGGAGGATAAAATTATTTTATACTGACCTCAGTAATTGTTGTGTTCTCATAGCTCATAAGACAATAAATGAAAATATGCATTTAGCACTTACTTATTTGATTTACCAAGGGTGATACCTATTCTGTTAGGTTTACACACTCGGTATTTTGGAAAGTAATGTTATTTACATGATGTGCCATTTACGGTCACTATGTCCTGATTTGTCCGGTTGATGATGTCCCCAAAATGAGCTCAAGAAGGATTGTTATGCTAAACTCGGCCAGTGGATTAATTTTCGACATAATAATAAAAAATTGAGTCGTCGTGCCGCTATTTCGAGTAGATGTGAAAAGAAAGGTAGGGTTGAAAAGGTTGTACCATTTTCGAATCAAGTAATTGATTAATTATATTGTCATAAATTAAATTAATCAATAGACATTATATCTTAAACATATGGAGTTAAATCAACCAATTAGTCGGAAGGCGAATTAATTATAATTCGGAGTTAAATAGGAAGATCAATAATATTACTCTATTGGTATGTTTTATTACTTATTCAAAATAAGGAATATAAATAAAAAGGTCTTCTAGAATATTAACAAGTAGAAGGATTTAATGTCTTCTAGAATGTTACCAAGTTGAAAGACATAAAGATCTTCTAGAAGGTTAACTAAGTTGAAAGGCATTAGGACTTCTAGAATGTTAATAAGTCGGAAGACATATGGTTTTCTAATCCTATTTGGAGAAGCCCATATTTAGCTCCTCCTTAGGGTCCCTATTGTGGCCTATAAATACACCAAGTCCCCTAGCCTCCAAGACATAATTCTACACGCATAAGATCAGATCCCACACGCCCCAAATACATTAGACTTAGAAGTTTTTTCTCTTTGAAATATTCAGATAAAACCGAGAGGTCTTAAGAGAAGAAAATCGAGAGGCTCTGGTAGTTCCAATTACTCGCTCCACCAAGATTGATTGGAGATGGTGTAAAGGTAATACAATAAAAGATCCCAAGGTTATGTTTTCGCATCCCAAAAAATATATATACAGCACCATAGCAGTCGGCGATCATCCGACAAGCACCGATGACCATGGAGTGACCAGCCGCAGCTTGGCCACGTACAGTACCGTCCCAGACCGCACAACTCGTGCAAATCTGCGTCCCATATCACAGGTGCCCGGAGACCCGCGCGCGTCTGTCCCAGCATACAAGCGTGCACTCGTAGACGACCTAGTTCATCCAGTGCGCGGCCTGTGTTATTTAAGCGTGACCCGTGAGATCCTCGTGCTACCCACGTGCAGTCTCGCGACTCGATGCAGCGCCTCGCGAGTTGATCTCGCAACCAGAGCCCGTCAGGTGTAATTTCTCGGCGAAGCAGCGCCCCTGCGTGAAGCAGCAACGACCCTGTGTAGGCCCAGACCCGCACAACATCGGCCCAGCATCGTGCAGTCCTGGCCCAGCCTGCAGCCTAGTGCCCAGATCCGGCACAATCCAGTCCAGTCCGGCACAAACGCGACCAGACCCGGCTCAATGATCCCAGAGCCCAGCCCGATCAAACCCGGCCCAGAACCGGTCCAAACCAGCTCAACTAGGTCTAGAAGCCCACGGCAAGTCCTGAGCGGTCCGATTAACTGACCGAAGGTCCGAGACGATCTGACGAGTCCGAAAAGCAACCGGACACGTGATGACGAGGCCAAGTCCGGCTACCCAACGGACTCCGAGTTTCAGACGATCTCCAACAGCAGAAATCAGAAACATCTGAGAGTCATGCAAAAAATTTTAAGTCGTAAGTCCTAATTCTAACTATAGATGTTGCTGCTGCGTTAGGATTTGTTTTGATAGATTCAATGTGTATATCGACGACGTCCCTCATAGAACCCAACACAATTAGATATATTCCAATGACCACCCTCAGAAGGAATGTCCATGCCCTTCCGTCAGAGCTCAGGGGGCTCTGTATGTTGACATCCGAATTGGAAAGTAAGAGAGCTCTGAGTATAATCATATTTAAGAATCAAACAAATTATATTGCGGAAAATGGGACCCCAGGTCGGACTCCAGTCAAGCACTCAGGGGTTGGAAATCATATGTAGATACCCCGACCTCGACGCGTCATAAGAGCCAGGAGAAAATATAGACCGAGGGGACATGGCCACATGTCCTGCAGACCTACAACATTTAGGTCACTAGGGTAGCATGTCCGCATAAAATGCCTGTCATTCAACATTAAATTGATGTAACTCTGATGAAATGTAACCGGACATACCTTTATATAAATAGTCCTAGAAATCCATTTTAAAAAAGGACTGGTCTGAAAATTCCCTATGTAATGAGACAAAAATTCTCTCATTTAATTCCACATTTAAAGCAAAGTCCTACCTTAACACCAGAAAAGTCCAATCTCATTAATATTCATTGTTGCACCAATCCTTTATTTTAATCCACTTTTTACAGCTTCAATCTCTTCTAATCTACACTAAATTTATAATTTTAGTTGATCAATTCTGTTGATCAGTAAAATAAATACGAAATTTCAATTTGATAACAAAAGAATAATTTTAAAACATACATTTTGTACCCAAGATGTTAATTTAAATCTCATTTATCAAATACTCGAACTGAAATTGCAACTAATCAAAAACCTCTAAGTAGAAACCAAGGTGAACAGCTAGATGTTTGTTGAGATGATTGAAGGATAGAAATTAAAGAAACTATCGTCCATTGATTTGGAAAAGAATTTGAGTAGTTGCACAAGCGTTGGGCCAATGAATGAGGATAGGAGTAAATGAGGAGCAAAGTTCAACTCTATCAAACCAATATGCCACCATATTTTCAAATCTTAAGCTCCATCGTTATTAGGATATGGGAACCGATACTCCATCTTCTCGATCAGCCGACAAATCCTCGTTGTTGTGCACATCACCTTTCTCTGCAAACTCAAATGCCATGTTGTCCTCCATGATATCAACGTTCTTGAGTTGGTTGTTGGGTTTCGAACATTCCCCAAAATCCTTGTCAGCACCACTTTCGTTTTCATCCTCCAAATCCAAGCTGCTACTTTTGGCCTCATACATACTACCAACAAGATTTGGGTCGAAATCGTTCAAGTTGATTATCGGCGGCTGACGTATAGGGATTTGGCCTGTCCTTAATCTTTCCCGATAATCCTCCATTTCAATCTTGTACCTCTCCTTGTCCTTCACAGCTTTCTCTTGATAAACCTTAAATATCACAAACATATGACAACAAAATATTTCTACCAAAAAAAAAAAAAGATTATTCAATTCAACTGTGCTTTGCTTACTGATCTCTCGGGTTCTAGCAACTTGTTCCAAGTCTCCCCAATAATCCTACTTATCTCTCTATCTTTTCCATGGTAAAGTGGCTTGAGCTTCGCGTGCTGCTCGGCAAAAAAGAAATTGTAGCCGCTTCTGTTGGGCTTGGGATGAGACGGGTCTCGTTTTCTTATTTCCGACTTCTTTCTACGCTTGCGACGTCCACCTGGCGGTTTTGACACATCCACAAAATTTTGTTGACTTGGAAAAGATTGTGTGTTGTGGTTTGTTGGGACCTGATAGAGGACCCCTTTGAACTCATCTTGCCCTATTTTAACTGTGATCAGATATCCACTCTCGAATTTTCCATCGATTACACCACAAACTGCTGAACCTGCTGATGCTGCTGCTAAAATAAA